ATCCTTTCCCCCAGGCACCCATCCCTTCAGCAGAGCACCCATCTCTGCCCCAGCACATCCATCCCTTCCCAGGAGCACCCATCCCTTCTCCAGAGAACCCATCCCTTCTGCTCACAGCCTCAGCACCAAACCTCACGGATCCCCATCCACTTCCATGAGGATCCATGAGGTTTGGTGCTGCAGCCGGGGCAGAGCGTGGACACGGAGCATCCACGTGCCAGCACCAGCTGCTGGCTGGGATCTCTCTGGGGAAAACCTGGTGAGCAAGGACAGTTTAACTGCTCCTGGAAGGAACTACTGGCCTGTCAAAAGCACCCTGTGCTCCCATGGGATACGTGCTCCTTAGAAGCCTGGGGGGATGGAGCTGGCCGGAGCACGGGGTATTTTCACCAGGCTCTCCAGCACCTCCTCCCAAAACAACAGAGAGCTGGGAGAGCCACAACCACCCCCTGGAGCTGCCACTGCTCCTTCCAGTCTTGCTCCTTCCACAGCTCAGCCTTTCCCTCAGGCACCTCCTCAGGACGCCCAGCCATGAGCTGAACTACCAAAGGATGCTGTTGGAAATGGATCCACGTGAGAACATGCCCTGCCACCCCCCAGCCCCTCTTACCTGCTTGGAATTTTGGACAACCCACGTTTCTGCTGTTTCTCTGCTATTTCCCACCCTCCAGACAAGCCTCCTCCAAGCATTTATCACGTCGTATCCACCACAACCTCCTCCTCTTCCTCCTCCTCCTCTCTGGGCTGGACACAGCAAATCTTGCTCTGCTCATCCCTTCCCAAAGGCTGCCAGAGAAATCCTCTCTCCAACAATTCCCTGCCCACATTCCATCGCAGTTCTGCCTCCTGACAGCGCCGAGGGTCTGTCGGCACCTCCCACCACGCTGCCAACCCCAAAAACTTCCACAAACTCTCTGTTTGTGGCACCCTCAAACTGCTCTGAAACACGAGACGCTGCCTCAGGAAGCCCTTTGCTCCCACAGCTACAAAATCCTGCAAGTGGGAATGGGGAGGATGCTGAAACCACAGGGCTCCAAGTGCCCTCCAGCTCCCGCTGGGGATTACTGTTATTTTTTAAAGCCCATATCAAACACCACCCGACCTCCTTCTGCTCAGGGCTGGGACAGCAGAGCCACAGCACTGCTCCATTCACAATTCCCCGAGCTCTGCCTTCATACATTATTCCAAGTCTGTGAAGCTTTGGGATTGGTTTTTTATTCTTTCCTTTGAATATTTTATTCAGTTTTGCAGTCTCCCAGAGCTCCCCAGGGAAAACCAGGCTACCCAGGAAGGGCTGTGTCACTGCAATGGAGGCAGGTCCACACCCCAAACACAGGCTGTCTCCAAAACCCATGCAGAAAGCACCGTGAGGCTGCACAGGGCAGGGAGCAGAGGCAGTGCCAGAACATGCTTCCCAACCTCCAACAACCCGGCTGGGAGAGCACAGCTGGCACGAGACCCTGAGGGGGTTAAATCCTGTGGCCGTGTGGAACATGAGCAGCTTCATGGAAGCAATGAGGATGTGAGTGATGTGGGATGTGGGTCTCAATCTGCAGCAGGCAACAATTGCTGAGCCAGTCCAAAATCCCCCCCCGGAACAGCAGAAAGTCCTTCAGCATTCCCAACCTCTGCGCTTCCCAGCTTTACATCCAAAATGACCCATTTGGAGCAGCCCCCCCAGAGAGCACGGTGTAAGGACACAGCAGACTTGTGTTTCCTGGGGGGTGCTCCATGTGTCCGTGCTCGCTTCCCAGCTGCATCTTCCCAACTTCCCATCCCCGAGCCGGCACCGAGCCCCGGCCGTGCCCGAGCCCCGCGGTAACACAAAGCGACCCACAGCACAGAAACACAGGGAGAAACAGGGTCCAGGGGAGGAGGGGAGAAGAGGGGAAGGAGGAGGAGAGCACTCACGTTGATCATAGCATTGGAGGTGATGCGGAAGAGCGTGGCGCGCTCGTTCACCGCCTTGATCTTCTCTCCGCTCTCGGCCGGCAGGCGCAGGTTCTCCAGCTCGCTGAGCGAGCGCTGCAGGGCCGCGCCGTGCTTGGCGATCAGGTCATTGCAGGTGCTCAGGTCCTCCAGTTTACTCGACAGAGTCTTCAGGGGGCCGTGCAGCTCGCTCTTGTCTGACTGCGAGGCGGGCTCCTCGTCACCCGAGTCATCTGCGAAGGGAGGGATGGGGAGAAAATAGTTTCCATGGTTACCCCTGGACCGAGCTAACCCGTCATCGACAGGGGCAGGGACCTCCTGCCTCCTCCCAGGGACCTCCTGCCTCCTCCCAGGGACCTCCTGCCTCCTCCTCCTCCCCTGCAGCTCCGCCGGGGCCGGGGCCACCACAGCCCCCTGGAGCAGAGCTGGTGTGGGGGAGCAATGTGGGACAGGGCCCCAGGAGGCATCAGTGGGGTCCTGTGGCCGCCACCGGGATCTGGATCAGGTTTGAGTGACGGGGGTGGCACGTGCTGGTGCCACCACGCACCAAAACTCCCTTTTCCGTGCACACCAGAGTGGATCTGCCCTGCACTGGGAGCAAACCCCACGAGGGCTCTGCAAGCTCTGCTCTGGGCAGGGTGAAGAGTTTCACCCAAGGGAAAGATCACAAAGACACCAAGGAGAGTCACAGCTGTTACCCAAAACCACCACCACGTCCTCAGAGGGCAGAAAACTCCACAATCAGCATCTCAGCTACAGAACAAATGGTTATTCCTGCAACTCCAGAACACTGGGGTGACTTAAAACCAGGAAACCAACCCAAACCCACACAGTGGGTGGAACACAGCACTTCTGATCGCTCCAGAGCTCCCCCGGGCACGCAGAGCCACCCAAAGCAAACACAGAGAGTGAGAGTGGAGCAGGTGCTGCACAGGGTCTGTGCCCCATCCTTATGCTCAAAGTTTAACCAAGGGTTCTCCAGGCATTCCCAAAACCCACTAAGGCAGTGGAGAGGGGAGCAGCCCCTTCCTGTCCCCTCCCTCCATCATCTGTTTCTGGATTTTGGAGAGAAAGGAACAGCAAAACATGGCTGCACCTTCTCTGCCAGGTCTGGGGGTGCCAGGGGGGGTGAGGACATTCCCTGAGTCAGCCAGGCACGGAGCTCAGGAATGGCTCCCGTTTACAGGAGGGGCAGCACATCCCCTTTCTGGGCTACAAGGAAAGGAGGAAACCCGTGATTCTCTGGCAGGTGGGTGTTTGGTTTCTATTCCTGACTCATTGATAAGAGATTTGGAAAGGCTGTGGGTACTGAGAGGGACGTTCAGGCATCACTCAGGCTGAATCACAGCTAAGGAAAGGAGAGGAAGAGATCCTTCCATTCCTGTGTTCCAAAGGCAAGAGATGGAGTGATCTGAATAATCACTGGTAACAGGACCATTAACCTGGAGAGGAAGCAGGAGCAAAGCTGCACCAGGGCTCGTGGTATCAGGACAGATGTGATGGGACAGGGAGGCCCAGCCCAGGGACAAGGCTGATCCTCCACAGCAGGATCAACCCCGCTGCCCAAGGACAATGGGAGAAGAAAACTGCCCAGAGAAGCTGTGGCTGCCCCATCCCTGGAAGTGTCCAAGGTCAGGCTGGACAGGGCTTGGAGCAACCTGGGACAGTGGAAGGTGTCCCTGCCCATGGCAAGGGGTGGAACAAGATGAGCTTTAAGGTCCTTTCCAGCCCAAACCATTCTGGGATTCTACGAAAAACAGAGGAAACAGAGCACGGAGCAAACCATGAGCAGCTCATGAAGCACCAGGGCAGCATTTCCCAATGTCACCATTTGGTCCATCTGCAATCCAGCCCGGAGCACCCACAGCTCAGAGCTCTGACAAGCACGAGAAGCAGCTGTTGGAGCCAGGAGAGAAAGCGGCCACCAAGGACAAAGGACAATCAGAGCACCCAAGGGAAGCAGCCAAGAGCTTCCCGAGGAAGGTGAGCTGCCAGCTGAGGTGTTGGGAGCAGGACCAGCTCCCACCGACAGCCTGGGGAGCTGCTGAGCTTGGACAGGGGGAACAGCCCTGATCCCAGGGACAGGACCAGCGTTTTGGGAACGGCACCAGGGAAGTGTCCAGCACAGGTGAGGTGACAGGCAGGGGAAGGGGAATGGGAACAGGTAGAATTCAAAGGGCTCCATCCCAGGACGGTGCACAGAGGCCCCACAGCCATGGCACAGGCTCACACCACAGGAACCTTGTACAGGCCAACTCCAAAAGATCTGGCAAGAAAATCAAAGCCACATTTCCACCAGTACAGACAGTAACCAAAACCTTCCCAAGGTTCACTTTCTGCTTCAAACGTTCCAAGTATTCCCACGGTGCCTTTCATCCAGGGCACACAAAGGCACTGGGTCCCTGGCAACGTGTACAAGTTCCCTGGGCTTTGAATACTGTCTTTGTACCTGTCCTGAGTTGGTGCATCCAAGGACACACCACACCCTGCAGAGCCACCTCACTGGGAGGGGGACACAGGGCTGCTCCTGCTGCTCCAGGCTGTGTCCCTGGGGCTTTCCAGGGCAGTCCCAGGCAGAGGTTCCCAGAATCAAAGAATCATAGAATCACAGAATCAGCTGGGTTGAAAGGGACCTCTGAGATCATCAAGTCCAACCCTTGATCCAACCCTGCCGTGGTTCCCAGCCCATGGCACTGATGCCACATCCACTGTCCTTAAACACCTCCAGGGACAGAGAATCCATCACTTCCCTGGGTAGCCCATTCCAATGGCTGAGCACCCTCTCTGCAAAGAAATTCTTTCTAATATCCAACCTAAACCTCCCCTGGTACAGCTTTAGACCCAGCCCTCTTGTCTTGCTGATCGTTGCCTG